AAATTTTTGTTCTTTTGGTTATAGTGATTCTTTTGTACTCAGGACAGGATAGATTTCAGTTCATAGTGTAGTTCCTGAGTATTGTATATGATCTTTTGAGATATGAATCGACATGTACATTGATGTATAAATGTTATATATTTTTGCTAGACTGTTTGATTGAGGTTATAAATAGCTCTGGTAAATGGTTTTCATGAATTGATTGAAATTCTTTCCAAGTTAGATCTTGGGGCGTCACAGTCACACCTCGGGACGGTAGAGGCCGGAGGCTCAGAGCTCGCGTGCTTCGTCAGATCTTACCGTGACGATGGAACTCATGGCTTGGGGCGACGAACTCGTGGTTTCGAGCCTTTGACGGAGTTTGATGGGACGACGAAGGTCAGAGCTCGAGTCCTTTTCGATCGACGTATCTCGGGACGACGTAGTAGCTCGGAACGATTTAGCTCGGCAAGCCGCTCGACTCTACTCGATTCGTGAGACGAGTCGAGCTCGAGCTCATTTTTCGAGCTCGAGCTCGGTATTTGGCAGTCGAGCTCGACTCGAGCACCACCTGACTCAAGCTCAACTCGACTCGTTTGCACCCCACCTCATGTGCTTTAAAGCTGAACAAATGCAGTTGGCCTACTCGTTTCTTCTCTTGGAAGCAGAAAATCATCCATCTCTGCCATATCTAGACAATTTTTTTAAAATTTTTTATTTGGCGATATTTTAGATAAACAAACTTCTCGACTAAGTAACAAATCTCTCTCGAATCATTTTTTTTTTATTCTGTCATTTTTTCTCGACCGTTCCTATTAAGATTTTTAATGTGTGATTGGAGACAAAAAAATTGACTTCCTGATGAAAAATTAAGTTTATATTAGTTTTTTTAGTCATGTTTTGTTTATCCTGTTATGAAATTGAATTGTAATTGATATGCTCTTGTGGTGTTTGATAAAATATTTCTTTGTCAAAATAATGACTAGATTATTACTTTCTTGTCTAGATAATCCAAATTGACATAAATTTTATAGAAAGATATTTAAAGATTTTTAAAATCAAGCTTGTTGATGACTTTAGATGAGACAAAAAAGAAAGACGAAGAACAAAATCAGAAAAGAAGTTGCGTAGTAAAAGAATTATCAAAAAATTTGGAAGTAGATTTAAAAAATCATCCATTTGATCCTGGTTAGTGAAATCCTATTAATGATTATATTTCTAATATTCAATATCAAGTTTGAAGGTCCATGTCTCTCACTCAATAATGAATTTCTTAAAAAGAAAAATTGTGCCCCTTATAAGAAGTTCTTGGCTCCGCCACCACTGTCCGGTGGAGTCCGATTTTACTTCCGGCGTTCTGCTACTCATGTATGTTTTGTTCTGATGTGATCTTTTTTTTAAGGCTTGCTATATCGAAAGACTAGTAAAGCAAGAGACTTGCCATCTCTCTGATATGTACTTATGAAGGCTAACATTGGGAGAGAGCTCGCCTTTATTGATTAATATGCTTAGTTAGTTTATGTTTGCCAATTATACGAGCAGTTAAGATGTTGGAAATTGTGTTATGGTTTTTTTTCCAAGTTAATGGTTGTTAATACACTAAATTTAAGAGTTCAAATTTTATAAAAGTTTACTGAACAAAAATATTAAAGTATTTATATTTCCCCCACCTCCCAAAAAAAAACTGTCGGCAATTTCATCCTTCTTGGAATTCTCATAGCTCACATTAAAGTATTTATATTCTAAAATATTTCTTAGGTCTTAATTTTTCAGGTTTCCTTCAAAGTTCATTGGTTCTAATGATGGAAGATTTCGATGTATGGAATATTTCATAGATGAGCATATGAAGAGTTTTGTAATTTGTTGACATTTTGTTATGGCTATATAGAGAGAGAGATAGAGAGAGATAGAGAGAGAAAATAAAGAGAGAGAGGTGCAAAGAGAGTGAAATTCATTTAATTTATATTTTAACTATTTTATTTAATTTTAATTAACTGTAAATTTTTTTAGCATCTTTTTAATTATAATACAAATGAAAATTTAAATAAGATAATTGATAAAATTCAAAAACTAAATATTGATAAAACTAAATACAAAATATTTAAAACTATTTAATTTCAAACTAAATTATATATATATATATATCAATTAAAGTATATTAAATTTAAATATTATAATTATGATTAATAAATCAATTTTTAATATTATTTATATTTAAGTTAATAAAAATTACACCATTTAAAATAAATATAAAAATTATAATATTCATCATGTTAAGAATTTTTAATATCTTACATTAATTTTATTACAACAACATCTAGCCTTTATCCCACTACATGGGGTCGGCTATATGAATCCTTTTTTCGCCATTGTGTCATGTTAATAGTCAAATTCTCTTTTAAATTTAATAAAGAAAGATAATTTCTAATATTTTCTTACCAAGTCTTTTTAAGTCTACCTCTTCCTTTCTTAACATAAGTCAAATTTGATACCTCAACTTTCCTAACCGGTTCATTGAAAGGCCTATGTTTAATGTGACCACGCCATCTAAGGCGACTCTCTCTAATCTTGTCTTCCACTAGAGCTACTCCAACATTTTCATGTATATACTCATTTTGTATCCTATCTCTAAGGGTAAAGCCACTCATCCACCTAAGCATCCTCATCTCTGCAACATTTAACTTAATATTATGCTTCTCTTTTAATGGTCAATATTCAACACTATAAAACATTACAGGTCTCACCACCATCTTATAAAATTTTCCCTTAAGTTTGAGGGAACTTTTCTATTGCACAACAACCTCGATGCATTCCTCCACTTTAACCATCCAACATGATATGCTGATAATATCCCTATCTATTTCACCATCACTCTAAACAATAAATCCAAGATATTTAAAATGTGTACTCTTATTAATGACTTGATCTCCCAATGTCACAATCCCCTCACTAGATTTATTACTACTAAAATTACACTTCATATATTCACTTTTAGATCAACTTAAGTGAAAACTTTTAGACTCTAAGGTTGACCTCCATAATTCAAGTTTACCTTCAACTCCCTCTCTAGTCTTATCAACAAGAAGAATATCATCAGCAAAAAGCATACACCAAGATACATCCTCTTGCAAATGTCTAGTGAGAACATCCATGACTAAAGAGAAAAGATATGGACTTAAGGTTGATCGTTGATGTAATCCAACCGAAATAAGAAAAATACTTAGTCAAACCACCTTATGTTTGAACACAAGTAATATCTCCTCCATGCATATTTTTAATGATTTGAATATAAGCATTATTAACTTCTTTCTTTTCAGGAACTCTCCATAGCACTTTCTTGGAACTTTATCATATGCTTTCTCTAAATCAATAAATATCATATGTAGATCCTCCTCATTCTCTCTATATTTCTCCATCAAACCTCTCAATAAATGTATGACTTCCATAGTAGACCTACCCGGCATGAATCCCGATTGATTTTGAGAAACATTAGTATCATGCCATAACCTACGCTTCATAACTCGCTCCCGTAGTTTTAAAGTATGAAAAATTAACTTAATTCCTCTATAATTCACACATTCACGTGCATCACCTTTATTCCTAAAAATAGGAATTAACGCACTCATTCTCCACTCATCTAGCACCATTTTTGTCTTCAAAACAATATTTAAAAGTTTATTAAGCCAAGAAATTTCTTCATCTCTTAAGCATTTCCAACCTCTATTGGAATAGCATCAAGTCAAACAGCATTTCCACATTTCATTTTATTTAAAGCCTCTCAAATTTCGGTTTTACTAATATGTCAATAAAAATAAAAATCTTTATTTTCATTTAGGGTGTTAAAGTCATTAAAGTTAATTATACTTTCACATTCTTCATTAAATTTTTTAGCAAAATATCTCATTTACCTTTGTTGAATATCATTTTCTAAGAAAATACTTTTTGATCTTCATCCTTAATACACTTCACTTGAACTAAATCCTCTCTTTGGTTGTTCATATTGCATGCCTCATTCTTTTGTCATTTATGCTTTGATAGGTAGGAGTTGTTGAGTTTGATTTATCATCTCAGTCATTCTCTGTTTTTGCAACAGATCCTTTAGGTGTATTTTGTGGGTTGCCACCTCAGAAGCAGGTTTACCATTAGTAGATTATTTTTTGTATTTATTATTTTGTAGTAATTTATTATGCGTTTTATTTCTGAGTGTTTAGTAGTTTCTTTTTTATTTTTTGCTCTATTTATATTCTCGTTGTCATGTATCATAATTATTATTATTTGGGTGTATTGATTATTTGAAATTATATTAATGAATTGGTTTTTTAATTCACTTTTTTGGTTTACTCTAGTGTATATATATCATGTTGTATCACTTGTATATACATGTTTCTCTCTGTGAATACAAAATAGGTCTTTCTATCCCTTTTTCGCATCTCATGTTGCTGGTGTGTACCGCCTTTCGAACCAAGGGTGTGACAGGCGGTTTGATTGAGTGTGATGCTATTAGCGTGCTAAGAAGGGAGCATGATAGGTTGGCTTGGTTTTGCATGTGTGAAGGAGAGCGAGGCGATTGGCTGGCGTATGGCTTTCGTGTGCATGAGAATCCAGAGTGGTTCTATCTGGTTATCACAAAATTGCTGGTTCTAGCTGATTTTTGTCAGTTCTTAGCAAAATTAGTTTTATAGAAAAAATCGGACCAGCTAGCCAACCAGTTCCGGATTGAATCAGTCGAATCGGCACGTCCGATCCTGTCCATTTTTCAAAAGAATGGTTATTATACATTTAATTAATTTTATATTCATCAATTCAATGGTTCTATTGATATTTGAATAAGTTTTATCAGAAAAAATTTAATAGAAGTAAAATGCTCTAAAATTTTGTTTTTATTTTACTTGAAGAACTGCACAATTGAACCATATACAAATTTTCCATCAAACTAAAAAAAAAAGCCATCAGCAAATCCTCAACATTTCAAATTAAACTCCATTAATATCAACATTTCAAATTCAACGGTCGATTGTGCTCTAAAAGCTGAGGATGTTGAGGAGAGAAACCCTATTTTGGATCAACTTCCTGAAAAAATATTCCAATCCGGACTCCAAATCAAAAATGTTTTCGCAGAGAGCGTCCACGAATTCCTCTCTCGTTCCAATTTCATTCTTCTCGCAATCCACCTTTGTGTGTAGTAACTCGCATACAAAAGCCCACCTGCTGGCCTTTTGATTTGTCGTCGGTGTCGCCAAGAATGAGGAAGCCAACTGGAGTAGGGAAATCAAAATCTCCCTCGTCTCTGCTAAGATGGCGCCCACGGCGGAGCAAGGTGCGCGTTTGTTGCTGCTCTCCATCTGCTTCTTCAATGATCTCAATGAATTCGCAATGGCCTTCTTTATGAAACGAATACGTGTCGAGTCGTAGTGATGAGTTTTTTGGCTCTTGACATCTGAGCAAGATTTTCTCCGAAGAGAGAACTGAATTTCTTGCAGATGCTCCTTGGTGGAGGTCAGGCCGTCCCTAATTGCGCCACTTAGGTCGAGGAGCCGGAGAGAGAGATCGAGCTCCTCCTCCACCCATTTCCTTTGGTTCGAATGGCCGAGGTGTTGCTGGTTGCAGGGCAAGCTCAGAAGCTTATCGATGACGTCGTAGACATCTCCGAGCCGTCTGAGACCGTCCGACACTGTTTCTGTCGTTGATAAATCCAAACAAGCTCTAAGCTTGCGCAGATCTTCTTCGATTTGGGCAGCGGCTGGGTGGGATCTGGAGGGCAAGCTGATGGATCGAAGTTGGAAGGCTTGATCGGCCATTTACCTGATTGATTGCCTATTGAAGGGGAAGACAAATCAGGATGAGTTGCTTGATTGAGATCTGACCTCGTAAGGCTATCTTGTCCTGCTTATATATAGCTTAATGGACGATTGGCGATGGAAATGCAAAACGATTGAGAGGGGAAAGCATTAAGAATCTTGACAGCAAAGCTACTCATGTGCTGTCGAGGTGGGAAATGGCCTCTTAGCTTGTGCGATTTTGCTCACACGTTTGGGTGTGATGTGGAACTTGTTCTTGTCATGGGAAACATAATCTCTAAAGAACTCGTGATGGGTAGCAAACTGGCTTGTGAATTGGATCTTTCTGCTGGCCTCAGGTAGATTAATCACCCCCTTACAATCGATGTCGTTGCAGGGAGGAACAAGTTAGCTCGCAAATTTTATGGGAGAAGATTCTTCTTCTTATTATTATATTTATTTTTTATTTTTTTTGTCCTTTTGGCTTCTGACTTTTTCTATGATAGAGAAATAACTCTCCCAGTCATTAATGCAAATGCCAGGCACCTGATCGCAAGAAGTTTACAAATCAGATGCCAACACCACTTGTTTGATGAAACGCCTGCAAGATTGCCAGCACCAGGCAAAGACTTGCAGGGCCACCTGGCACCACATGCCATAGGTGGAGCTTTATGGTATGCATTCTAATTATTTAACGATATCAATAGTTGTTCTTCACATGCGCATCTCTAAAGAATTCAAAAATTCTGCAACCTGCATGGAATCAGGAAAAGGTATTCTGATTCTGGAATTTTTTAATTTGAAGCTTTGTCATAATTGTGTTTAACATATTGTTATGTCACCTATTCTGGTTTTGACAACGAACTTGTGTATGATACTTGTGAAACCTACTTGGGCAAATTTTCGAAATAAGCAACATTAATAATTA